TACGTACCGCACTGCAATCACTTGCACCGCACCCGATGCCGCTCTGGTAGTGTACACGAGTACGCTCGTAAGCCCTTCCACACTGCATTGACTGTGTCAAGCCAATGAGACCGGTGAGCATGGATGGATGGCTTACTCGTGTTGAGGATGTCGAGTCTTTTGCGAGTGCACCATGTAGTAGCCATCCTATGGCTTGAGCCCTCACGGAAGACCCACCGACGTATGAGCGCCACAGGATCTTGGCGCATATCATCTTCTGTGCGCTGTAAACGTTCGCGACGCCTCTCTTCAAGCACTGTACTCATCTTTGGAGCGGGACTAGTCGGAGTCAAACAGCGTGAACAGCCATGATGGCCCAAGTACTTGACGCATGCCGGGGAAATTCTCAGCTGCAATAGAGCAGTTGCTCGGGGCGTACTACCTTGCCTTTCCATAATTTTGCCCTAAATCACGCACCAGTTTTGCTACACCCCTGATCCTCTGCTAATTGACCAAGAGGAGTTGATGAATCTCGTTACGACGAGTGTCAAAAGTTGATTATGAACGAGATCCAGAGTAGCAGTGACGCAGACTGGGCACAGAATGTAATCGAAGAGTATGGATTGTACGCTCATCCTATTTTATCGTATATTTATGGCACTAACATCATACTCTACGAATGAATTTCTGATAACCGCTTACTCACACCGCAAGCGTTTGAGCACGGTCACAACTGTAGAGGAGGCGGATAAAAGACTCGACAGAATGCTTGCTGAGATAGATGGCGAAGATGTAGATTTGACAGGTAAAGCGTCCGTTGCCCAAATACCGGAAGATGCGGAGCTAGGAGACGAAGATCGGGGGACGACTGCGGTAGAAGTAGACGCCGAGATTGACAGCTTAGAGAGTGATATGAACGAGTCTGGGCATGAAGCAGTCGGCAACGGGACACATCGTACGTAGTAAATAACGTTCCATGAGCTCATAGGCTAATTAAATTTTCACTGCACACAGATGCTGACAGCGAAAATACTGCTGCACCTGAACCTAATCCGTCTTGGGCACTACGCCGCCATTTTGATTGGAGTGCCCCGAAATCTGAGAAGCGAGTTAGTTGCAACCATCTTTCCACGGTTGCTCCGGGTGAATTCACAAATAATACTGAGCGCTCTGCGTCTCAGAGGTCTTCAGAGACACTAGCAGGAGCCTTTGGGGATGTCCGCAAGCAGACATCTACCCGAAAGCTATGGAAACTTGGGTCGAATTACCGCAAGGCGGGGCACGTCGCCGCCGCAACTTCAACTCGCCCCCCACCCTGCTCTCACCGTTGGGGCTTTCGCATCGTATGTACCACATACATATAACGCTTTAGCAAAGCACAGATATATAACTGGGTCTGTATTGTCGAAATAGTCAATCCTCCTCCTCTGCATCGCCCTCGGCGGCCTCGGCCGCAGCTCGTAACTGTGCGGTTCTCGTCGCGGCAGCTTCCTTTACCGTTTTGTATGTCGCGCGCGTCTCTGTGGCTCTCAGGAAATCTTGCGCGCGTCTGGTCCGACCATCGATGCGAAGTTATGCGGCGAGCTGGTCGTGGAATGCTCTGCGATCGTTGTGCAGTGGGATCGGCTTCGCGAGTTTGCGAGGCAGAGTTCGTCGCAGGAGGTGGGGATTGTGAGACGGATGCACATTCAAAACTTATCGTGTGCGATCCGTACACACCATCTTATTCTGGCGGTTTTGTGCTATTCTTGACGTACTGGCTGAGCGACCTAAATTGGGCAGTGCATGAATGAGGGATCGTGCTGTACGTTAGGTGTATCCCCTATTGCCTGGTAAACAAAGTCAGCAGGAGGTGTATGTGCGCCGCATCTACGTTAGGCTCAACAAGTGTGAGTGGCATGCGAGATCGAAGAAGAATGGGCGTGCCGAGGTGACCATGTGGTGTTTGCTGCACGAGCAAGTGCTCTATGACAATAACACCTTGCGTGCCGGATAGATCGAGCTTGCTAGCGTTGAGAACTTGAACAATGAACAATGCGGCCGATCTTCATACCCTGTACATCATTGAGTTTCCGGTGAACACAGGGAGATCAGCAAAGGACGGACACCATTCTTCGAGAAGAACACGGAGGGGCCAACAAAACAAGGGTCGCTAGACTTCGCTATACTGCACTTGCACCAGTACCACGTTTTCGAGTCGTCTGGATCTATCTCAGGAGGCGGAAGTGACTCATGGCTTGCGCCACGCTGTTTAGAAGCCGCATACAATGACTCAATTGCACTATGCCAGCCGAACCCTCCTCGCTTCAGCTTGCTATACAGTTTAATCGACTATGATTGCCTTTCGGCCGCACAGAACGTAAGCTATCAAGACCGGCAAGCCTGTCTTTGGCTGTGACTCGTTGACCCAGCCGAGGCGACGTAGTAGATCTTTGTCGTCAATGAAGTAGGCTTGTATGCAGGGCCCGCACTCCACGTCCTCGCCGCTCTTCGTCTTCCACCATCCCCCACTCACGAAGTGACGGAAGTGTTCCATTCCAGCAACTTTATTGGGAAATCATGGCTCGGGGAAGGATGGTTTGAGTAAACACTGCATAGTAGGCATATTGCGTTTCAGCACTCAAACAACTCGGCCGGATACAAGATAATGAGGCCTAAGCAAAGAATATCGTCTATGATGTGTGTCAACACAGGGAGTCTGTACTTCGTGATGATCTGCTGGACGTCTGATGCAACCCAGATGTCGAGAACATTGCTAATGAGTACCCACACATCGTCCTGGATGGGGTTGAGACGCCGCGCCTTGGCCAGACATGCGATACAAGTGAAACTACTTATAAAATATTCCTCAATATCCTTGATCTCGGGAAACCAGAGCATCGGGCCAAAACTTCCTGGCGCTTTCTACGAGTCAAACATGCCGGGATCGTCACATAGGCCATACGATGGCCGTAAGTGAAAGGCCGCCCACTGCTGTAAGACCTTGATGCGCTCTCCAACGAGAGAGTTCTTGTATTGAACAAGATCCCATGCACGCAGACTGAAGATGCTTGGACCATCGGTATCCGAGCTCTGCAATCGCGCCGCACAGAGCTTCTTCTTCTCCTTATGTCCTAACCTTATTCGTGCTGTGCCAGATGTACATCTGAGGTCCGACGAAAGACGTTTGCAAGCTCTCGATGGGACAGTCTGCATGAGGCTCGATGCCTGTGAGGGAGATGAGATAGCCTGATTCAAAGTCAACGACGTGTCATCCCTACCGGGTATGGCAAATAACAGTTTGTATTGGCTACCAGCTCGAATCTGCTTGCGGAGAGCTGACAGTTCATTAGCGAACTTGTACCATAGCACAGGAGAAGTGCACTGCTCACGCGAAATATCTGGTAAAGCATCGAAACGATGAGAAGGCTGCGTGTACAGTCACTGCATCAGCTCATCCGCGATTATCTGTCCGATCTCCTCCTTCAGCACAACCCATGCCTCCTTGTGCAGATTTCCGAGATGGTCCTTCACGCGCAAGGTCTGTTGTTCACGTGTTTTTTTTACGATCCCGTTCCAATGCTGATCGACCTTATCCTTCACGCCCGTTGTGGTCACAAGTGCGTCGATGGGTGTTTTGACACCTCGGAATGCGAGCCGGTGTTGAGCCTCTATGATGGAGACTATATCTGTTGTCGTTCGTTTTTTCACCACAGAGTGGTGGGCTCACAGACCTCTGTGTACATTACACAGTACTGGACAGCTTACCGCAAATGGTGCATCGTACTCATGATACCCTTCTTTCATGACAGCTTTACCTCCCACTGTATCGTAACGGCAGTAATGGTTCGTCTGCGAGCTCGCATGCGAGCAGTTTTCAGCTTGCTGCGGGTTTTCGACAAGTAGAACATGAGGAATCACTGATAAAAGAACGTCCGTTTTCAGTTGACAATCATACGCCTCGTGAAGGGTCCCGTTCTGGCTTTGGACGGAAGCCGATCAGTGAATCGCTCAGGCTTGGTAAGTTCGTAACTTACAAATCCTTGTCTAGTGCAGCAAACTGCTCGCAAGACGATGCGTGTTGGGGGCTGAGTAGAACCGTACAAAATACCCATGTGAAAGAACCCTGTGAGGCAATGTGATGTTTGCCCCGTATCCATTGACGTGAGCATTGTACTGTTTGGAACACTATAGACATCATTGGCACAAAGCAGGATGCGTGTTGCAAAGACAGGCTTTCCTTCTGCACGATCGCGTACAGGATTCCGTATTTTTGCCGTCCCGGTAGGCGATTCCGGAGCAAACAGTACTGGTGCGACAGAATCAAGCTCAACTACGCTTAAAGCAAAAGACTCGAACGCGACGCGTTTGAGCGAGTCCTTACACACGAGGAACATATACCGCAAGCAATGAACAAGTCATAATCTGATTTCCTAGCCAAGGGGACGTGATGGTGTGAAGCAAGTTGCGTTGCGCTGACGCGGCGTGTCAATTTGCGCGGCGAGCGCGTCGGCGGCGGCGAATTCTGCTCTTGTCGCTCACCTTTGGCGCCTCACGATCCGTCACTCCTCCAGACTCGGGGTTCATCTTGGCTTTGATCTTATAAGCAAGTGCACGTACGTTGCCGTCGGTCAGAAACCATCGCCATGGAATGACGAACTCCTTGTTCGCCAGCCGAGCAAGCTCTCGGACGTAGAAATGGCGATAATAGGCGTGCCGAGAATCCGCCCGCATCTCCCGCTGATATTGATGCTGAAAATTAGGGACAGGTGTAAACTCCCATTTTTTCAAACTGCCAGAACTCGCAACGAGCCTTCTGCTCGCCGATTTTGGGCAAGAATTGCATCAGCGGTCGGGCCCGGTCCGTCCGCATCAACACGGACTATGCGCCTGGCGGCCCCACGCTTCTCGGCCCCGAGTCCGTCTATACTTGCGACGACGGCAACTGGGGTTGGCACGATCTCGGCCGTCAGCCTCAGTTTCTGAACACCACCGCGCTGTATCTTGCCTTCACGCCGGTGCCCGACTCAGCCGATTCCGACATGACGCGCCTACCAGAGTTCCGCGAGCCGCGCAAGGAAGATACGGTCCGTGGCACCAACGACAAGGGGCGCGTGCAGAACAATGGCTTCATTAACCGGGACCAGGTGCACAAGAAACTGGAGGAGCGGGCGAAGACGCTGGAGCAACTCTTCCGCTTCGCCGTCGGCTTATTCCACGAAGCGATGGCGGCGACCAAGCACGAGAAAACGACTGTCCAGCACCGCGTCGCGTTGGAAATCAGGTCGCCTTACGCTGCCGCGACCATCATGAGGCGTACGTGGGGAACGCTGCGCTAGAGAAAGCTACGGTCGTGGGCCAATTGTACGGTCTGCGCTCGCATGCACCAGCGCTCCTCCGCGTTCGTCACCGCATACGTCGAGTTCATGGCCGCCTTCCTTTCGAGAGAGCAGGCGAAGATGCTTCGCCTCCGCATCACACGTCGCGCGAAGACTTCTCGACGGGGCGTCATCGTCAGCGGCATGCAGATCGAAACCTACCTCCGATTGCTCGTGCATCTCAGTGCCCCCGTCTACGCGCTCGTCGATGCCAACGAGTACTCGTTGCCGGATGGGACGCTGCAGTGTGGTACCATCAATCCCGCTCAGTAAGTCAATCTTCTCGTTCATGAGAAGCTACAATACTAATGTCCAATAGCGGACATTCGTCAGAAAGACCTACCTTTACCTTGATATCTGCCACCAGGTATTCACTGGCGCCACATCGAGTTCGTTGCCTTCTGTGGCGTCTCGATCCCGGGTAGTGCGATGGGGATGTCGGATAAGAAGGAAGCGGACCAGGATGCAGGGTAAAGCAAGAGGTGCGTTAATTGACACAGTGTCTGGCGATGTATTAACTTGTGACTTTTTTACTAGCAGCCGCCAAGAAGCAGAAGGTCGAGGTGAAACTCAAGGAAAGCAGACTTCCGCGAGCATCACCCTGGCGTGTACATCTCCGCCGAGCGGTATAAGCTCTTCGTCGACCGTGCTCTGGCTTTGAACCGATTCTACGATTTGAAGCAAGGCCTCCGCGATATGGATATACCACATGCGCGGACCGCATTTCTCAGCGTCTAAGCGAAGGCGCTCGAGCGCGTCGACCTCCTCAAAAAGTACGTGAAGTCTCCAGACGGCGAGTCGTGGGACAAGAAAGAGCTCAAGGCAAAGACAGGGAATGTAACGCTGGGGAGCTAGACACCGCCCATGTCTATCCTCAACCAGGCGAAGACGGACGACACGATGCTCGAGCATCTCCCGTATGCGACCGGGCTGGTTCCCACTTTCTTGGCGCGCAACCAGAAGGACAAGAACTTTCGTCGGCTGAGGCCGAACGAATGGAGGGACGTCCTATTGACGCAGCCATGGCAGCGGCAACTGCGAGCCGCTCAGCTCTTCGTCGCAGCGAAAGCAAGTCGCAAGCGCTGGCAGGCCATCGAGTTCGAGGAGTGGGAGCTGTCGTACTTCCACATGTACGGGCAACGACTTCTCTATGGCGAAGATCGTACGCGCGCCGCCGAAAAAGACCCGCTGGAGCTCGGAGTGACGCTGCTCTACGGCGTGGAGCGCAGCAAGGAGAGCGATCCGTACTCCATTGGTTTCCTTCTGGGTTTATTGCCGTGCGGCTGTGTGCCCTTGGCCCGTCCTCTCGCTGGCGACGTTTGACTTCGGCAAGACATCTTGATCATGTTCAACCAGCTGAACCTGTTGTTCTGGCTGGTCGAGCCCGCCTCTCCCGCTACGCTCGAGGTCGAAGGCATTCCTGCATTGCAGGATTCCGGCGGCAAAAATCACCCACCCGACAGCATGATCGAGGAAGAGCTCCAGAAGGCTTGTTCAGTCGCGGACCTGGCGTGCTACATTGCCGCGGGGGACTGGTCCCTCCAGAAATGCAATAGCTTCCCCGTACCCTGGACCCCTGGCAATAAGAACTGGGAACGACGAGCGGAAGACATGGATTCGCAAGTTCGCGCAGTTGCTTCTGAAGGTCGACGGCCTTGACAAGCTCAACAGGCGCTTCAAGCGCAACCGCGGGGTCCTGATGGCCGTTAAACTCAAGGCGCTAGTGTGCGCCCCAAATCCCCTACCCAAGAGCAAGCGCGCGCTCAACTCTCTCCAGTCACACGTCTTCCTTCGCTACTACTTAGCGCCGTTTCAACGCGGCCAGTTTTCGGTCGGAATCCTGAACATGGGGCGCGATCTCGACCCGGGAGAGAGCCCCGCGTGCAGCTCCTGCGCGAACAGGTTTCCGACGCCCAAACCCTCAACGTCATCTATGTCTCAGAAGAAAGAGGCCCGCACAGGAGACCGCGTCAAGCGAGGCAGCGAGCGATGCCGAGAAGGAAGAGCCCGTTCAGAATGAGCTGATAGATGAGGATGTCGAGGAGGGAGAGCTGGTGGAGGACGAGGCGATGGATCAGGTTTCACAGGAGGCAGGGATAACTGGCGAGGGATTGGAGGGAATGTTCGAGGAAGGAGGGTGGGTTGACGGTATTGGTAGTGTGGAGGACGACGCGCTTACTGTTCTGGAAGAAGACCCTCCCACTCTATGCGAAGACGGTGAGTATCGGCCTTGGCGCGACATGGGGTTCGTCGGTATGGAGTTCGATTTCCCTGGCAAGAGGTACTACGACTACGACGACGACGCCGCCTGCAATCTCGATACGTGAATCCTGCATCGAGATTCTTCCACCCGTCGCCGCCCGGACTCTTTTATCTGTGTCTTACGCTGGTTTGCCGCCATCACTGCCCCCTCACTTGCTCGCGCTATCGGACATCTGCTTTGTATATATCGCTTGTTTTACTCGTATAGCCTCTTAACCCCGTTCCGCTCGTCTATCGCTCGTCTCACATACTTATCCAATCTTCCGGTGCTCGCTATATACTATTCTTACTTGTATTTGTTGTATCATAGCAATGGATGTTGATTTCCCTCCCTTTGTTGTGCTGATACCACTTGAATCTGGCTTATTGGCTGATCTACTCAGGAATCACTCGAATTGGTGCGTATATTTTGTTTTATTGACTTCGAAACTACCTAACTCATCTCCCTCTGAGCAGTCTCTGAGCAGCGCCTGAGAGATGCCTGAGAGGCACCTGAGCGCTGAGAGGTGCCTGAGCGCTGAGAGAT